ACACACACACACACACACACACACACACACGGTGGGAAGATGTGTACCCATGTACTATAATACATTTTTCAGCGAAGCTTGCGGTGTTTGACCGGACTTTTGTACTGTGATTAACTGCTGATGCTGGAGCATGACGGGCTCAACTGTTGTGCATCCGCCATTCGCTCTAGTGCTGCTATGGGGGAGCAGTGATATTGAGCTATGGATTTAGGTGACGAAGGAAAATTGGGCACACTATGGCAAAATCATAATTTGTGGAAAAATACATAACATTTGTATTGCTTATTTAATAGGCGTGCTATGGTCATTGCGAGGGCTTGAAAAATGTTAGGGTGTCTCACCAATCAGTCAAAAATGTCACCAGTCAGCATGACTATAGCCTTGAAATTTATGTTAACATTTTTTAGGCACACAGAGCTTTCTTTTAGTGATATTTAATCACCACTGTGGGAGGGGTGGTAATTTTTTTACTATAATGTAGATTTTTTATTTTTTTTTTACACTTAAAGGGGTTATAAACCCTCCCGTTTTTTTGCCTATATCTACTGCTATCAAGCATTAGACATAGGCAAACGGTTGAGAGAAAAAAAACCCGCTAAAGACAGCAGTTTAAACTTTTTTTTTTTTTCTTTGTGCGCTGGGGAGGGGGGGGGGAAATTGACTTTAATGTCACTTTAACCTTATTGCCATCACATGGTGGGCTAAGAGCTCCCCTATGTGATAGCCAATTTACATGACGGGTCCTCTTTATAGAGACATCAGGGGTCTCTAAGACCCCTAATGTCACCTAGGAACCCCCAGAGAAGCTGATGAAGCAGAGATCTGCTTCACCAACGTCTGAACTGGAGAGTGACAGGCCAGCAGAATGCGGAAGTGATGTGATATACATCACTTCCTGCATTCGGGCACTGGAGAGGAGACCAGAGGGAGATCATGTACCGATCTTCCTTTTATCTCCTGTCAGAGCAGCCGTGCCGGTCCCGGCCCACACCGGGCACAGCGGACCTCCTGAGCGGCAGTGGCAGCTGCTAATACAAGCGATCGGGCGTCTCTAGAGACGTCCGATCGGTTGAATGTAAAGCTTCCGGCCGGGAAGCTACTTGTGTGGCTCCGCCGTCCTCTTGTCACAGACGAGGGGATGAGCTCATTTTTCAAGCCCTGGTCATTGCAATGAATGTTCATTCTTAAAATAAAGGCCCCACAGGGCAGAAATTGGCTACGTGCAAAATAATTGTATTTGGACAATCTGTGCACATATAAGAAACATATATAGACCAATAGCACCCCCTTTACAAGCAAAGCATCGCCAAAAGCAGAAGTAATGCCACAGTACATAAATTGGGTAATTTTGCAGACCTTAAAGTAGATTATACCTTGAACAGATTTTGAATGAATGAAATTCATTTCGGCAGCATACGTTCCATTTTCTAATAGTTGATGGGGTCAAATTGATCTGTTTTGACTGCATGTTGGAAAAGTTTTCTTGATTTGAACGAAAGTCTTACAGGGAATGTGGTTTTCGTTCGGGGAAACTCCATTCATTCCCAAACTGAATGTTAAATCAAAACGAAAATCAAATGAAATCTACCGGTGTATACCCTACTTAGAGTAGCTCTTCAGAGCAGGCATCAAATGTTTGTTATAGCTGGTTCAGACCACCTCCTGTGTGTTCCAGCACAATTCGCTGCTGGAACGCACTGGAGCGCATCCCGGCCAGCTTCCTGCATTCATGGGTGGGAGGGGGCATGGCGGTGCTTTAAAGTCAATAGCACCGCAGCCACGCCCCCGCCCACACCAGAACGCGTGGAATTTCTGCGTTCCGTTACAGTGCAATCTGAAAAAATTCCCCTTTTTTATAGTGTAAACAAGTCCTCCGTCAGCCTGTGTAACAAACAGAGGGAAGCTCTGTACTGTTAATGAGTTCCCAACTGAAATCACTCTTTACATGTAGATACCACATACCTTTTCTTTGTTACTGTAATGGCTCCGGGTGATGGGGAACCCATTACCTATGGCGTGTGTTTTGAAATTTCCTGTGACAGCTTCCTCCTTGGCAATCTGAGTTTCTTGGCTGTTAGTTAGATACTTCAGGTGTTCAGCAAGATCCTGGGCACTGTGAAATTAATGTAATCATTCACATGTATTGAGCCTAATGTAAGTTATTTATGTATATTTATAAGTTGTTGCTACAGCTGCTTTGATGGCGTTTATACTTGCAGATTGTGCTGTATGACCCTGTTTGAATTGTTGAGTAATATTTATGTTTTCATTTCCTAGAAAGCTACTGCACTGAGAGAAGTAAGCAGTACAAGTCACGAAACAACCCTATCGCCAAAAGCTTAGCTTAAGCACGTCATCCGTTATGAAGACTGCGGCAAAAAGAACAAAAGGTACTGATCTAAAAAAAAAATTCTACACTTGCCTAGGTATTTTCTTTGTGTAGGACATTTTTGTACATTTCGATTTTGTTTTAAATATTTGAAGGTTTATGCCTGAATTCTCCCCACTTGCCTTGCATTTACCATGCATTGAGTTGATGTGCGTTATAATTAGGGTTGCACAGATACCAAGTACAGTACTCGGTACGCGTACATGTATCGATACTTTTCCAGCTCCAAGACTAGACTAGAGAAAAATTCAAAAGTTAGGAGGCAGCTGTCATTTGTAAGGAGCACACGGAGCTCCTGGGATTTGTACATCTCTGCTTTTAATGTACAATTTTGTTTTTATAACTATAAATAAAGGGATCCACAGATACCAGTTTTGTGAGTACGAGTACTGGTACTTGCCGAGTACTTACAAGTACGAGTACTGATACATTTTTGTTTATTGTCATGTGACAGTTTTTCTAAAACCATACAGACTAATTATTTCAGGACAGTGGTGGAGCGCCAGAGCCAGGTCCCAGCTGCAACCGCTGCAACCCTGGTAGTTCTCATGAAAATGCCAAGTATCGGCACTGGTACTCGAAAAGTATCTGTGCATCCCTAGTTGTAATGATGTGGGTTTTGTGTTGTACACAACAGAAGCCAAAAGACTTTATTGTTGTTCCCTTAATTCACACTGCAGTGAGCTGTGGTTTTACCTGCATATTGTTCAATCTTCACCCAGTGCACAGCAGTTTCAATGGGCCCAAACAATCTGAGCCATAGACTAATTTCTGGCTTTGGCAGTCAAAATACATAGTTTCCTGAAACCCAACCTGACTGTTCAGTGCATTATTAGTACAGTGCTTTTTAAGTCGTTTATTATGATAGTGGTTTTAACTGCTCCTTTTAACAAAAAATTATTAACATATAGCAATCTCTGTAAAAATTGGGGTTAGCCAACACAGATTATTATTGGTATTTATATAGTGCTGACAATTTATGTAGCGTATTAATGCACATTCACATCAGTCCCTTCCCTCAAGGAGCTTACAATTTAAGGCCCCTATTGCACACACATACAAGGCCAATTTAGACAGAAGCCAATTAACCAGGATGTCTTTGGCGTGTGGGAGAAAACCGGAGTACTAGGAGGAAATCCACACAAGCACAGGAAGACCATGCAAATCCTTGCACATGGTGACCTGACCGGGATATAAACCAGGGACCCCCAGTGCTGCAAGGCAGGGAATGCAAGAAGACTGCTGTTTTATGTGGAGGGGCAAGTTGGTGTGTTGTTGGTTGCTCAAAAGGTTGTCAACATTTACTTCCGCTCAACAATCTAATTGAATCATTTCGTTCAGTAACCTAAAAACCATAAAACATACCACACTAAAATCAGCAGTTTGTCCATATGACTTGGGGGTGTGGAGTATTACTTGAGACACGTCACAAGACAGAAGCCTATAACAGATTTTCCACTTGAATATCAGGAAAGATCTCTTCATGCTGCAAGGTGTGAAGGGGATGGGGGTCATGCTGTGGAAGTTTGGAATACTTTGCTTCTTGTAAGTGAAAGGATGTCATACAAGTGGTATTTTCTGAATAGCTAGTGCCCAGGGTGTTCAGCAGTGGTATGTAGTATGGGCACACTGCTGGTGTTAATATCTCCCTCTGAAGCGTGAGTTTACTTGTTAACCATTATATGCTGTTACATATCTTAATTTGGTTATTGTTTGGGTTATTTTTCAGAACTGTTTAACTGGGAAGAATACTTGAAGGAGAGTGGTGCAGTTGGTGCTCCTGCGCTTTATTTCAGACAGGTACGTCATACAGCTTGTGATAAGTTAATCTGTCAAAACTAGTTTATAAGCACACTCCAGTAAAAACTGACTCCATCATGACCTTTGCTCTGTATATTCCCCCACCTCTCCCTCCACCCCCTCCCCTTTTCGCTTCTCTCGCCCATATAGAGAACAACTCCCTTCTTCCCCAACTCACTTTTTTTATTACCTAGATAGCATTCTGCTTATTGTAAATCTCAGCTCCATCCTTGACTTCAGCCTACCATTTTTCATTGAATCCCACAGTGTGCTCCCACCCAAATCTAGCACATCTATGTGCTTGCAGACAAACCTACATTGAAATAGAACACACTGTATATTCTCAGGTCACTACGCCTCACTGGTATATGGAAACTAAATGGAAATCAAGACACAATGTGACACTGATGGAGTGTCTAACAACCCTTAGGGCCTGTTCACACCACTTCCATTGCGTTCCAGCAGCTAGCCGCGCTAGAAAGCACTGGATCGCATACTGTGAAGGCTCCCTGCATTCTGGGGTGGGTGGGAGCGTGGCGGTGTGTTCAAGTCAATGGCACTGCAGCCCCGCCCGCACCAGAATGCGTGGCACAGCAATGCCTGCGTTCCGGTCCAGTTCGATCGCACAAAATAGTAAAACCACTATTTGTACAAGCACTGTGAGCATGGGGGCCATGGCTGCGATGCCATTGACTTTAATGCACACCCACCCCCCCACACACCCACACCAGAATGCAGGGAGCCTTCACAGTATGCGATCCAGTGCGTTCAAGCACGCCTAGCTGCGGGAACGCACTGGACCTGGTGTGAGAAGGCGCTATATGATATTGTAATCCTTTTGATGCATGCTATGCTAGGTATTTGAGCGTGCTCTTTGCAGTTTCATTAACTGCAGTAGAAACGAGATTTCAATAAATTATTGCGTCGTGAGAATCTTGCGAACAGCTACATGAGGCTTGTGTAATCAGCCCCATTTGCAGGTGTGAATGGGGCTGTAAAATAAACATACAATTTTTGTTGTAATATTAACTTTCAATCTGGAGATCTCCCATGCAACTCTTCTTTTCCACCAGTCTGATTGCCAGCAGTATTCAGCCCACTTCCTCTTCCTCCTTTTTTTCTTCAGCAAACTTAGGACCTTTCCGCAGAAGTGATCTGGCTGGTTGTAGATCCAACTGATGATTATGTGACTGCCATCACACACCCACTCCTGCCCTTTGTATTGTTTTCACTTTTCTTCTGGAGTTCCAGAGACTGCAGAGGTGACCTTGTGATCTAGTTCACCTTTTTAATTTTTTGTGAAAAAGTGAATGAACCCTTTACTTGTTACACAGCTGAAATGCACTTGGCTATAATACACTGTAAGCCAGAGAATATGTTGATGGGACTTGTTTTCTTACAGCCACAGGCGTAGTTTAAAGATGGCAACCTACCATATGCAAAGTTCTCCTGAAGCATCCGTGGCTGTAAAATCATTAATACAAATATGAGAGTTTTAGCAGGCGGGCTAGTGTGTTGTAGCAGCTCTGGCGGTGAGATGTGTTGTCTCGGTACATCACACTGTTCCCTTTTTTTTTTTTTTAAACTTTTTTTTGTGTGTTCCTGAGGGAATTGAATTTAACTCTGTGGTTATCAACCAGTGTCTTCAGCCGATGACAACAGCAGAGGAATATAATCATAATCTTGTTTGGACTTTATTGTAAGGCAAGGTCCTCATTTTTCCCATTGTTTTTTTTGTATTACCAGATTAAACCACTTGTGGGAGCTCTTAACCATTCCCTTTCATGAATTATCAGTAGCGTGTGAATCTAGAAGATATTTTGCAGTCTGACGTTTTGCCTTTTAACTAGTTGGTAAAACTTTTTTGTCATGACATTATTATACAGGATTTATATAGCGCCAACAGTTTGCGCAGCGCTTTACAAGATAACATGACATGAAGTTTTGCCACTTCTTTGTTTCTTTACCCATTCTATTGTTACTCTACCTGTTTGCGCATTGCCAGTTTTGAGCTTTTCACTGCATCCATGAGTATTTCATAATAAAATGTGATAATGTGTTACAGTTAAAGACATGGTTTTATATTGGGTTATTTTTGTAGTCTAGGACTCCACCCTGCAACGATTTTAAAGTTGGTATGAAAGTGGAAGCTCATGACCCTCGAAACGTTACGTCTGTTTGTATAGCGACAGTCATTGGAATCTCAGGAGCTCGTTTACGTTTGCGCCTGGATGGCAGTGATGATAAAAATGACTTTTGGAGGCTGGTGGATTCCGCTGACATCCAACAAATTGGCACATGCGAGAAAAAGGGAGATATGCTGCAGCCACCTTTGGGTAAGGGTGATGATGCAGTCTTTGCAATGAATTGTGAGTGAAGTATTATTGTAACCAGTTTTAAAAGTTATTGGTTCATTTTTTTACATGCTTGCTCTTCCATACTTTATTATTGTATTAAGTGTATCTAAACCCAAAAACAAATAGTGTTTTTCAGACTTTTATTCCTGCAATTAAACGTCCAGCTCCTCGTTTGCTACATTTATTCTTCCACTGTTTCTATGTAGGGACCTTTGGTTGTCACTAGACTGGACTACAATTATTTCTGCCTTTTTTATCTGCTTATTTTGTGTGAAGGGGCAATTACGAGTCTACAGAAGAAAGACAGAAGGCAAACTTTAAACAGTCCCAGGGGTAGCCACCCTACTCTTTGTGTAGCTAAATGCTCAGGTGGTCATCCACAAAAATATCCATACAAATCCAAAGTAGGTATAGAGGCACTCACAGGTCATGCAGTGGAGAGAAGTCAAAGCATCAGCATTTTATGTTCAACTTTTTAATAACTTTTTTTTTTTTTTTTGCATTAAACCGATCACTTACATGCATATCTTAAAGGGGGAAAAAAACCTTAAAGTAACTATACATTCCATCAAATCCTGTTTTAAGGCTGCAAATTACCATGTGGCATTATCACTGCATATTATTGTTGTCCTTAACTGTGTATAAAATATAGAGGAATTGTGAGACTTAATGTTGTTCTAAAATGTTTACAGGATTCCGGATGAACGCCTCTTCCTGGCCCATGTTTCTCTTAAGAACATTAAATGGAGCAGAAATGGCGCCAGCAGCTTACTTTAAAAAGGTAAGAGCATGGTGGGGGAATCGAGGTTTGGAATCTTATGTAGAAGACCAAATTTGAGAGCCAGAGCAGACTGTTAGGCTAGTGTGAGGCTCAGGATACTGGAATTAGAGTCCCCCCTACCCCTTCACATCAGGTGCCTCAAGTGTGGCAGCATGGCAGAGAGCAGGAGGTGGAGCAGGCCTGGAGGGAGGCTAACTTCTTTCTTTTTCTGAATGGATCCCACCCTCCCTGGATTGGCATAGTTCATTTTCACGGCCAGCCCATTGAAAGGCATGATGGTGTGCGAAAATTTCGAAGCACACCTAGGGAAGGTACTGCGGCACCCTGGTTGAGAAAGGCTGATCTAGACCACACCTTCCTTGTCTTTTGAGCCTGAACATTGCTTTCTCTCTGTGGTTATGAGGAGTTAAAAGCTTGGAATTAACAATTGGCCACCTATAATTAAAAGCTTATATATATATATATATATGTGGTGAAATTACAAATCCCATGAGCCACTGTAAGACTGACAGCAGCAGGCATGACTTCCAGAGGCAGACGCATGATGGGGTTTGTTGTTTTTAAACATAGTTGGAGTGCCAAGCTTGCCTACCCCTGATCTAGCATATTTAAGTGATATAGAGCTCGCTAGCGGAGCATTTAGCTTCTTTACAGGTTTGTTGAAAGTTTGCATGAAAGGGAAAATGTATGATTACACTGGGCAGTGTTGGAAAAACAGCAAAAATGGTAAATATGAAAGTATAAGGTTCAGAAATCAAATGCATTTCATTATTTGGGATATGTTAAAGCTAGAATAAAAACAGGTATACATTACTTTGCAGTGTGCTAAATATTCAAATCTAGCATAGTGTTTAGAACTTTAATATTTGTATGTACCTATGATGTAAACCAGTGGTTCTCAACCATTGTAAGCCACAAAAGAGTTATTCCCCGGAGGTTACCTAATAAATCATGCGTTCATGGACTCCCCCAGAGACGCACACAATCATTGAACAATAATGAAGGTCTATAACCAAGGCATACAAGGAAAAAGAGAGGTCCTCGCATGCAGAATAGTGTGCCGACCACAGAGGTTACTTCAGACCATATTTAGAAACATGAGAATACATTTATTAACACAATAATTGCACTTAAATATATTGCACCACATCCCAAAAGAACCACCTTTTAACATTGGCTCATACATGGAAATGTTCTGACGAAGCCCCAGGAGGAGGGGCGAAACGTGTTAACATTTTCAGCCTGATGGGGTTTCTCTGTCCACCCGGGATTTGACAGAAATGACACAGTTGTGATGCTCACAGCTATTATATCTCAGATGCAAAACTTGGAGATTTGTGGACATTGCACTGCGAAGGGAAAGCCGGTTAGTGCCTTGTGAACGCTCTGTGCGTTATATTCATTCATTCATTTGTGGAAGGCAAAGCGATGTCATGCTGAGTAGACGATCTCTTGTGGCTTAATCAATACACCTTGAACTCTGTGAAACGTTACTAACTGGATGGTCCGCTTCAGCTGCCCCTGCCCAAGGTTATTATGATCAGAGTTTTCTGTGTACGAGCCAAGTCTCTGCAGCCTTTGGTTGAATACACTGATTGACATCAGCGTTAAAACGTGTGGCTCGGATTGATCGATCTGCCCCCAAACATCAGTGTCAGTGATAAAACTTCTGAATTGAAAATTGTTTGATAGCTCTCTGTCAGATGGATACATCTGCCACTCATGTGGAATCAAGTAAAGCTTAAAGTCCAGGATCTTCCGGTTAAAAGAGTAATTGCTGATATAGACTCACAGTATCAATTATGTGTCTCTGTGACTGACTTTTTATTTTCTGCATTTTTTGGTCCAGGAATCGATCCGCTAATCTATTCAGTGAAGTACTACTAGTAGTACAGTCAATGACTAATTATTGATTACCGGAGTTGCCGGTGGATGCCTGGATAAATTCTTACTTGCTTCAAATCTTATGAACTGCAGCGGATCATGTATACGGTTCAGGGCCAATAGCCCAGTATAATTATATTATCCCTTTAGGTCGGGATGTCCAAACTGCGGCCCTCCAGCTGTGGTGGAACTACGAATCCCATGAGGCTTTGCAAGATTCTCACAGCCACCGACATGACTCCCGGAGAGAGATCATTCATGGGATTTGTAGTTTCACCACAGCTGGAGGGCCGGAGTTTGGACATCCCTGCTTTAGGTGGACTATTTGGTAACCCCTTAGGAAAGAGTGGATGCATGTGAGGGATAGGACAACGTTGTCAATTTTAAAGGTGGTTCTTTTGGGATGTGGTGCAATATACCGTATTTAAGTGCAATTATTGTGTTAATGTATTCTCATTTTTCTAAATATGGTCTGAAGTAACCTCCGTGGTTGGCACACTATTCTGCTTGTGAGGACCTCTCTTTTTCCTTGTTCTCAACAATTGTAACCTCGGGACCCACTTTTGACCTTGGTCGCTAAGGTGCGACCCAAATCGCACCGCACTGGGATGCACGGCATTGCAGTACTGCGCGTTCCACTGGGCGATCGAACTGTGGGCAGGATGTGTGTTTGGGGTGCCATTTAAATGAATGGCAGGGCACCACACGTCCCGCAGCAGAATGTGTGCTGTAGGTGCGATTGTGTGGTACAGTAAGTTAATCGCATGGGTCTGTGCTATTAACGTACTCTGCTAGTGTGAACGGGCCCTCAAACACTCGCAGACATTCTCTTACACACACACACATTTTTTTTTTTTTTTTTAGATCCACCCAGTCTCCCTTCCTTCCTTATGAGAATTGGAGTGGATCCTCAGTCTGGGGTCCAGTGTGGAATGCTGTGCTGTGATGGAGCTCCATCCATATGTGCATTGCATGTACAGCTCCCTTGCACGCCCTGTAGGGGTGCCGGGAGCCAGAATGTGACGTCACTCTGGTCCAGAAACCTCTGCAAGCAATACACGTGTGGATGGAGCTCCCTCGTGGCCATACCTTCACACCACCCCACCTTAAGCTTACACTTGGCACCGGGCAGCATATTTTGAATGGCTACTTTGTGAAAAAACTGACAGTGCTACACTAGGGGTGGAAGGCTTGCGGCCACCCACTGATCACGTGGTTGCGACCCCCCCACCCCCACCCCCCATTTGAGAACCACAGGTGTAAACATAATACTCATACAGTACAGATTAAACCCTACTTTCATTGCGCCCAGTCCTTTCCCTTACGTAATGTATACTTGCAATAATGTTTCAAGTATAAATGATATGAGAGTAAGCCCTCAGGGGCAGGGCCCTCCTTACCATCTTGTCTTGAATTGTATTGTAACTGTAATGTCTTCCTTATATTGTAAAGCGCTGCGCAAACTGTTGGCGCTATATAAATACTATGTAATAATAATAATGGTAAAGGGTTGAGAGCCAATTGCCAAAATTGTGCGATTCCTGTGCACGTTTTACACATAATTTACTGAACACTAATTCATTCAAAAAATAATCGACCTTTATAATTACAAAGAAGTGCAATTCCAAGTCCTATTCTTCTAGGAGTTGAGATCTTCAGCTATGGATCCATTAAGGCTACATTTTCTAAAATGTGTTCAGGCATTTACTGCTCGTAAAAGTGTGTGTATAAGAGCTGCCTTATCCACACAGGAAATCTGTGATTTGTGAGGTGCCATCAGTTAGGTTCATTTCAGTACAATTGAGTTACTCAATTCAAAATCATAAAGTATTCTCATTAACATATAATATTCTGAGATAACCATGGTTACACTCTTCCAAAAATCTATTGCTCGGAACAGTAGCAGAATAAAGGCTGGAAGGTTTCTGGCTCATTAACGCACTTCTTTGTAATTATAAAGGTCGATTTTATTTTTTGAATGAATTAGTGTTCAGTAAATTATGTGTAAAACGTGCACAGGAATCGCACAATTTTGGCAATTGGCTCTCAACCCTTTACCATTATTATTATTATTACATAGTATTTACTGTATTTTTCAGTCTACAAGACGCCCCTATGTATAAGACGCCCCCAACTTTTCTTACCCAAAATTCAGAAATCAATTTTTTAAATGGCATAATGCATCACACTTACCTCAATCACGTTATGCTCTGACATTACAGCACTGGCTACACGCTCTCCCGAGCGTCGGCTGACGTCCGGTACAAAAGATTTATGATCGGAATACAGACGCAAAACAGTTTTCCTCCAATCATAAATCTTTTGTACCTGACGTCAGCTGTTGCTGGGGAGAGCGGATTACAGAGACACTCTCCCCAGCAACAGCTCAGGTACAAAAGATTTATGATTGGAGGAAAACTTATCTTGTCTCTGCAATCCGAAGTTTCACTCGTGAGGCAACGGTAGTTTGCAGTGGTATCGGCGCTTTCGGCAGTTTCGCAAACACGGTTCTCCTCTCGGCCCCCGTGTATAAGACGCCCCTCTATTTTAGGTAAACATTTTAATGAAAAAGTAGCGTCTTATACACGGAATTAGCACCAACAGTTTGCGCAGCGCTTTACAATATAAGGAAGACATTACAGTTACAATACAATTCAAGACAAGATGGTAAGGAGGGCCCTGCCCCTGAGGGCTTACAATCTAAAAGAGGAGGGGGAAATGATACATGAGGTAGCTGTGGGAATGAATTATGTGAGAATGTGAAGGTTCAGTGGTTAGGTTGCGGTGGGATAGGCTTCCCTGAAGAGATGAGTCTTTAGGGAACGCCTAAAGGCAGTCAAGGTGGGAGATAGACGGACAGGTTGGGGTAAGGAGTTCCAGAGGATGGGAGAGGCTCTAGAGAAGTCCTGGAGGCGAGTATGGGAGGAGTGGACAAGGGAGCTGGAAAGCAGGAGGTCAATGGATGAGCGGAGGGGACGTTTAGAGTCATACTTTGAGACAAGGTCTGAGATATATCCGGAGGCAGAGTACTGGATGGCTTTATAGGTGACTGTTAATATTTTTTACCATCTAATAGATGCAGGAAATACATTTTTTTCCTAGTGAAAATAGGTAAT